CTCTTCCTCTCTTCCCCACCATTCTTTCCCTCCTTTGTCCCTCTCTCTCCTCCTTATCTCCTCTCTTACCCTCCATCCTTTCTTCCTCTCTCCCACTCTCTTCCCCTCCATCTTTTCTTTCTCTCTCTCCTCCTATCTCTCTCTCTCTCTCCTCCTATCTCCCTCTCTCTCTCTCTCCCACCTCACAAAAACTGATTCTCATCCCACTGTCTTTTATCAGCGTGCCACACTTCTCCCCAGATCACGTGACCCGTCTTTCTGCAATCGTGTTAATGTTGCTCTTATTTTCCTGCAACTCATCATCCTATTAAGGCGTTGCATGCTTTCTGTGGTGTCTTATTATCGCCTTTATTGCCGTTATTAAAAGGCATTTGATGGGGTGGTTATCGCGAGTGGTGTTGTCGTTGGTGTTGCGTTGTGATTGTGATGATGATGAGGAGGAGGAGAAGGATGGTGATGATGATGAGGAGAAGGATGATGATGATGATGATGATGATGATGATGATGAGAATGAGAATGAGAAGGAGGATGATGGTGATGAGGATGAGGATGATGATAGTGATGATGATGGTGGTGGTGATGAGGATGATGGTGAGATGATGATGATGATGATATGATGATGAGTAGTGATGAGGATGAGGATGATGAAATGATAACGTAATGATAATGAGGAGGAGGAGGTAGTTGTTGGTATCATTCTTTATCTCATTATTCTTGCTCTAGTTGCTGCTATTACTGACATCACAATCATCACACACATTATCACAATAAAGACAATATCACTATAACCATAATCAATAAAAATAACAAACTCAACAAGAAGATCATCAGCATTATCATCATTAACAATCTCCTTATGATAATCACTCCTAGAATGCTAAATATAATTATGCCATATTTAGCGTCATCGTTAGTATTTCCATTACAATAATTAGTAGATATATTATTGCCATATATGGATATGTTTCCATCTTCTAACAAGTCTAAAGATACTAAGATAACTGAATAATTTTTTTAAGTACCTAAAAAATATATAAAAGAGTGAATAGATAAATTAATGAATAACAAAGGAATTAAATAGACTTTCAAATAAATAGATAGCGATTATAATTAAATTAGAGATAGCGAGAGAGAGACAAGAGAGAGAGGGAGGGAGGAGGGAGAAGAGAGAGAGAGAGAGAGAGAGAGAGAGAGAGAGAGAGAGAGAGAGAGAGAGAGAGAGAGAGAGAGAGAGAGAGAGAGAGAGAGGAGAGAGAAGGAGAGAGAGAGAGAGAGAGAGAGGAAATAGAGAGTAACAACGACAATAAAGATAAAGAGAAATCGCCTGATCTACCCCCCCCAAGAAACCAGCCCCTCTCACGCAGACCCAGATTCGCCAAAAAAAAAAAAAAAAAAAAGTTGCAAAGTCATGTTGCATGAGTCACGGCCTGGTTGATGGGACACCTGGCTCTCTCTTGACCTCCGCGGGTCGAGGTCACGCAGGTCACGGGAACACGCGGCCACCGAACCCGGCCAAGGGATAGATTGGGATAGTTTTTGGTTTGGTTAAATGGATGACGGTGGTGGGTGTGGTGGTGGTGTTGTGTGTGTGTGTGTGTGTGTGTGTGTGTGTGTGTGTGTGTGTGTGTGTGTGTGTGTGTGTGTGTGTGTGTGTGTGTGTGTGTGTGTGTGTGTGTGTGTGTGTGTGTGTGTGTGTGTGTGTGTGTGTGTGTGTGTGGTGTGTGTGTGTGTGTGTGTGTGTGTGTGAATGTGTGTGTGTGTGTGTGTGTGTGTGTGTCTGTCTGTCTGTTTTGCCTGTCTCCTGTCTTCCTACCTTGCCCTTACCTGCCTTGCCGCCTTACCTATCTACCTACCTACCTACCCCCCCCCTTACCCATCCCCTACCTACCTACCCACCCCGTCCCTCCCTACCCCACCTACCCCCACCCCCACCTACCGACCCACCCTACCTACCCCCTACCCCACCCCCTCCCCCTACCCCCATACCCCCCCCTTCATGCCCTTTAAACACCCACCGGTCACGAAGGAGATCCCAGCTGTATCCGCATCCGAAAGATGGCGCCGCAGGTCAATACCGCAGGCGAAACGTTTCGTCCACGGCGGAAAACGATTCAGCGAAACGTTTGGTCCACGGCGGAAAACGTTTCAGCGGCATGAATAACGTTTTTGTTTGTTTGTTTTCATGCTCGTTGCGTCATGCGGGAGGTCCCACTGCGCGCGTGCTGGCTTGGGGGCGTCTTCTCCGAGCAGACGAACGCTGTCTCTACGTTTTCCTCTTTTTTTTTTTTTTTTTTTTGGTTTTTGTTTTCTTATTCTTCGTGGGACAATTTGCTTGTTTCTGTTGTTGTTTTGAAGTTGTTGTTTTCTTCTTCGTGGAATAATTTGCTTGTTTTTGTTGTTTGTTGTTGTTTTGAGGTTGGGATTGGTACGAATTGGCACTTTTTGCTTTGTTTTTTTTTTTTGTTTATTAGTTGTTTGTTTTATTGAAATTGAGATTGGAACGAATTGGAACTATCCTTGTTTGTTTCTGTTTCGTTCGTCTGTTTTTTGTTTTATCAAGTTAGATTGGAACGAACCGGAACGACCACTACATTCCCCTTCATTCTTTTCCTTCGATGGAACAATTTCCTTGCTTGCTTATTTTAAAAAACAAATTTTAAAGCCGAGATTGGTACAAATTGGAACGACCACTACATTCCCCTTCATTCTTTTCCTTCGTTGGAACAATTTCCTTGCTTCCTCATTTCCAAAAACCGAATTTTGAAGCCGAGATTGGTACGAATTGCCCCAAAAAAAAAAAAAAAAAAAAAAAAAAAAAAAAAAAAAAAAAAAAAAAGGACAAAGAGATGGATATTTGCATGTGTCCTTCTTGCTCGCGACTGACGTGATTGGAAAGCGTGTTTTGCAGAACTGATATTTGCTTTGCGTGCTTGAGGGCGTCGCGATGTCGAACGTTCCGAGGATGTTTTGTATGTTTGGTTACCGATCTATCAACGTTGATGTAGTGGGAGCGCAAGAAAACGTTTATGGGGCGGGTGTAAGAAAACGTTTATGGGTGAGAGTGCGAGGACATGTTTAAGGGGAGTGCGAGTGTAAAAAAAAAGGGGGAGAGTGCAAGAAAACGTTTATGGGGTGGGTGTAAGAAAACGTTTATGGATAGAGAGTTCGAGGAAACGTTTGTGGGGAGAGTGTAAAAAGATATGAGGAGAGTGAAAGCAAACGTTTATGGGGAAAGTACTAAGAAAAGTTTATGGGGAAGGTGTCAAAAGATATGGGTGAGTACAAGTAAACGTTTATAGGGTGAGAGCATAAAAATAAAAATAAGGAGTACAACAAAAAATATGAATGCAGTAACTTTTATGGGGGAAACATAATAAAAAATGACAACAGGGAACAAGACAACGTTTCCAAAGAGCGAATAAAGTGGAACACAGAGAGTACAACCAAACGTTTACGGGCGAGTGTGCAATCAAACGTTTATAACAGGAATATCTACAAGTGCGAACGAACAATAGAACTCACCGAAACAAACACAACAAAAACAATTCTTCATTCACCCTCCTCTCCTCCCTCTAAACCCACCCCCACCTGTGTGAGAGAGAGAGAGAGAGAGAGAGAGAGAGAGAGAGAGAGAGAGAGAGAGAGAGGAGAGAGAGAGAGGAGAGAGAGAGAGAGAGAGAGAGAGAGAGAGTGGAGAGAGTGTGAGTGTGAGTGTGAGTGGTGAGTGTTATATATATATATATATAATATATATATATATATATAATATATATATATATATATATTATATATCTATCTATACCAACACACACGCACACCGCAAGAAAAAAGACACAGCGACAGAAATACCACACCCCCCCCCCCCTCCTTCGTATCTGCCCTCTCCCCCCCCACCACCACACACACGACCCCCGTGTGCCAGAACGCAACTTCCCCCCCCCCCCTCGACCTTCCTATAGAGCTTTCTCGCGGCACCAGAGCTCCATAACATCTCTTAGCATGAGTAGGTTCTCGCTTTTCCATCCGAAAACTAACTCCATTACACTTCGTTGCCATATAAGGGGAATAACTTCATGACAGCTGATCTGGCCATAGGTATCCGGTCCAGCTGGTCTAAATAAACATCATTGGGTGAACTATAAATAAATATAACTAACCGAAGAACGAAGGGCTAATAGTTTAAATCTAAAAAGAAAGAAAGAGAAGAGAAAAAAAGAAAAAAAAAAAAGAAATTAAGAAAAAAATAAAAAGAAAGAAAGAACAGAAAAGAAAAAGAAAAAAAAAACAAAGAAGAAGGAAAAAAACAAAGAAAAGAAAACAAAAGATATATATACATACATATATATACCTTATACCTGTTATTGGTTACTGATATAATTACAGCTACAGACAAATGTGGTTAATTCATACTATTATATATTATGTGTGAAAGGAAAAAAAAAAAAAACTATCCATTAACTAATATGATTTTTCACCTTCTTTCCCTGAAATAGAACTTTTAAACTCAATCTAGAATTTTTATTTTCAAAAAAAGGGAAAGTTAACCCTTTTAATTCTTGCATCTGCACAAGAAGGGAAGAAAAAGGATAAAACGTAATAAATTTTCTTCCCTCGTTTCCCCTCTACGAAATATATTGCATGCCTCATATTGCACTGCAAGTCAATTATCTTCGCAACAGTATCTGAAGTACTATCAACAACAAATAGATTTTTTAGAAACAGAGTATGGATAAAAAAAAAAAACTTCATAGCGCAATTTTTTTTAGAAAACAGTATGGATAAAAAAAAAATAAATAAACTTCACAGCGCAATTTTTTTTTTAGAAAACAGAGTATGGGTAAAAAAACTCCACATCGATTTTTTTTTTTTTTTTTTTTTTTAGAAAAAACAGAGTATGGGTAAAAAAAAAAAAAAAAAAAACTTCACAGCGCATGGATGGAAAAAAATATATAAACCATATTCCCCCCCCCCCTTCGTTAGCCTCCCTTCATTTTGCGAATATGTTGCAAAAGTCTTCAATTGCAAAGGAAGCTTCGGACTGGCGGTCGAGGAAGCACCGAGGGCTCCTACTGCCACGCGAGAGGTACGTTGCACTGCCATTGCAAAAATAAACAGCGGTGTTGCGTTTCTGTTTGCGTGATGGTGTGTGTGTGTGTGTGTGTGTGTGTGTGTGTGTGTGTGTGTGTGTGTGTGTGTGTGTGTGTGTGTGTGTGTGTGTGGTGTGTGTGTGTGTGTGTGCGTGTGTGCGTGTGTGTGTGTGTGTGTGTGTGTGTGTGTGTGTGTGTGTGGAGGTGTGTGTGGAGGTGGTGTGTGTGTGTGTGTGTGTGAAAGAAGAGATTGCGTGCTGTGCGTATATGTACGCGTATATCCATCCACCAATCCGTACACAGAGCGCGAGTATACCTGTCCTCCCACCTCCCTAACTTGTTCCCGCTTCCCCCACCCCCACGCCCACCCCCCACCCTCACCCCCCCCCCCTCCCAACCTTATCTCCGCGCTTGTTGACCCCAAACAAACACACGTGACATCTCCCGCGCAAAGACAAGCTCGCTGCTCGGGTCATTGAATGGGCGGCGTGTGGGTCGCTTGCTTTGTCCTGGACGCGCTATGGGTGCGGGCCGTGTCATCATTATCATTATTATCATCATTATTATTATCATTATTGTTGTTGTTGTTGTTTTGTTGTTATATTATCATTATTCTATTT